GCGTCATTATCGTTCAAGACGTGTTGGCGCGGCAGACAGAAAAAGGCCGTGGCAAACATGTGATGTGATCATTCGAGACACCTCTTCTGCTGTCTGCGTCTCGCTGTCTAGCGGGCCGTTGGCAGTTTTTTTCGTGCTAGGCTTCTGGTCTAACAACCAAGGCTTGTGTTATGATCTCGGTGGGTTTGGTGGTCTCGCAACAAGCCCCCCCCTCAAAAAACCGCTCGGGTTTTTGACTCTGCACGGAAAGTGTTTTAAAAAAAGAAGCCTCAATTTTCCATACATTATCCAGCTGTTTTCCATGCATTTCCATCCTTTGTCCATGCATTCCATCATTTGCTACCCATTTTCCCGCAAGTGTCCATCTATTGCCCACCCATTTTCCGCGAAGTTTCCATCCATTGTCCAGCAATGTTCCATCCATTTTCCATGAAGTTGTCATCCATTTTCCACAATCCATTTCCATCCACCTTTCCCTTCATTTCCCCACATGTCCCTTACCGGCACGGACAGCGCCCCCTGCATGCTCCAGCAACTTTCCATCCAGCTTCCATGAAGTTTCCATCCATTTTCCAGACATTTGCGATCCATTTCCAGTCGCCTTTCCCTTCATTTCCCCACACGTCCCTGAACGGCGTGGACAGCACCCCCTGCATCGACTGCATCATCCCAAGCAATGTCCGCCATGGATGCTCAATCGTTGCACCCTATTGCAATCCTTTTTCCATTCATTCCATCAATGCATTTTCCAGGAACTTTGCATCAATTGTGCACACATTTTCCATCCATCCCCTTTCCCTCCATTTCCCGCATTTTTTTCATCAACGCCCTTCATTTCCATCAATTTTGCATCCTTTTTGTCCATCCTTTTTCCAGCCCATTCCATCCAGCCATTTCCTATGAATTGTTTATGCGCATTCCTTTCCCTTTTCGTTTCCGCTGTCCGGCTCCCTTCACGTTCTGCCCGTGCATTTTCCATGCATCTCGGTTTCTCTCCAGTGCCCGCTTCATTTTCGTGCAATTCCTTTGACATCCATTTTCCAGACATTTCCCATCCATTTCCATTCTGTTGCACCCTGTTGCAATCCTTTTTCCATCCATTCCATCAATGCATTTTCCAGGAACTTTCCATCAATTGTCCACACATTTTCATCCATCCCCTTTCCCTCCATTCCCCGCATTTTTTTCATCAACGCCCCTTCATTTCCATCAATTTTGCATGCTTTTTTTCCAGCCCATTCCATCCAGCCATTTCCCATGAATTGTTTATTTGCATTCCTTTCCCTTTTCGTTCCCGCTGTCCGGTTCCCTTCACGCTCTGCCCGTGCATTTTCCCGCATCTCGGTTTCTCTCCAGTGCCCGCTTCATTTTCGTGCAATTCCTTTGACTTGCATTTCGTTCACTTCCAGTCACTCCTGTTTCCTTGCATTTCCCCTTCAGCCCCTTGTTTCGCATCGCCAGCATGCATAGCATCATCCGCATCATCCGGGATGATGCTGGCAATGCTGGGGGTGTTGTCCAGTATTAGGCACCCCCCAAAAATACTCGTTTTTGGACTCGTTTTTGGATGCTGCGGGGAGATGCTACAAAAACGCCTAAACCAATCCGCAAATCCTTCGCCCCTTATAAGGGAGGGCCCAGCATAAAACGTATGCGCATGTTCTGCGCATGGTCCGCGCATGGTCGGCGGCATGGGGCGCGCGGCCTTATACCTGAAGGTAAGCCCTAACGGGCTTTGGCCTGCGGCCCGATCACGTCCGGTGGCCGGATTTAAGGGCTGCCGCCCAGTGCCGCCGACCCCGGGATTTAGTTGTGGTTTTCGAGCAACCAAAAACAGTGCCCTTGGTTTTGGTTTCTTTGGTTTCTTTTTGACCCAAATGGCATCTGAGGATGTTACGATGATAGTTATCATAAGAGTCATCATCCTTATCATCTTCATGATGATTGTCAATAGTCATCGCCTTCATCATTGTCATCATGATTGTCATCATTATCATCATCTCTGTGATGATATATATCATCGTAGGATCCTCGGCATCATCAGTGCCGGCTAACAAGAGATGATGATGACCATGACGATAGTGATGATAAGGATGAGGACTGTGATGATAACTATCATCGTAGCATCCTCTGCATTGCCAATGGGGTCTAACGTTACTTTTGAAATGCATATAAGAATAAGAATAAGAATGAGATGATGATGATCATCATGATGATGATGAGAAGAGCGATGACATCATAATAAGGATGATCATGATGATGATTATGATGATAACTATCACCATAACACCCTTTGCATCACCAGTGCTGCCTAATCAGAGATGATGATGACATCCTCGGCATCACCAGTGCCGGCTGATAGTGATGATGAGGATGAGGACTGTGATGATAAGTATCGTCGTAGCATCCTCTGCATTGCCAATGGGGTCTAACGTCACTTTTGAAATGCATATAAGAATAAGAACAAGAATGAGATGATGATGATCATCATGATGATGATGAGAAGAGCGATGACATCATAATAAGGATGATCATGATGATGATTATGATGATAACTATCATCGTAACACCCTTTGCATCACCAGTGCTGCCTAATAAGAGATGGTGATGACCGTGATGTCGGCATCATCAGTCCGGCTAACAAGAGATGATGATGACCATGATGATAGTGATGATAAGGATGAGGGCTGTGATGATAACTATCATCGTAGCATCCTCTGCATTGCCAATGGGGCCTAACGTTACTTTTGAAATGCATATAAGAATAAGAATAAGAATGAGATGAGATGATGATCATCATGATGATGATGAGAAGAGCGATGACATCATAATAAGGATGATCATGATGATGATTATGATGACAACTATCATCATAACACCCTTTGCATCACCAGTGCTGCCTAATAAGAGATGATGATGACATCCTCGGCATCACCAGTGCCGGCTAATAAGAGATGATGATAACCATGATGATAGTGATGATGAGGATGAGGACTGTGATGATAAGTATCGTCGTAGCATCCTCTGCATTGCCAATGGGGTCTAACGTTACTTTTGAAATGCATATAAGAATAAGAACAAGAATGAGATGATGATGATCATCATGATGATGATGAGAAGAGCGATGACATCATAATAAGGATGATCATGATGATGATTATGATGATAACTATCATCGTAACACCCTTTGCATCACCAGTGCTGCCTAATAAGAGATGGTGATGACCGTGATGATACTGATGACAAGGATGAGGACTGTGATGATAACTATCATCGTAGCATCCTCGGCATCATCAGTGCCGGCTAACAAGAGATGATGATGACCATGATGATAGTGATGATAAGGATGAGGACTGTGATGATAACTATCATCGTAGCATCCTCTGCATTGCCAATGGGGCCTAACGTTACTTTTGAAATGCATATAAGAATAAGAATAAGAATGAGATGATGATGATCATCATGATGATGATGAGAAGAGCGATGACATCATAATAAGGATGATCATGATGATGATTATGATGACAACTATCATCATAACACCCTTTGCATCACCAGTGCTGCCTAATCAGAGATGATGATGACATCCTCGGCATCACCAGTGCCGGCTAATAAGAGATGATGATAACCATGATGATAGTGATGATGAGGGGTCTAACGTCACTTTTGAAATGCATATAAGAATAAGAACAAGAATGAGATGATGATGATCATCATGATGATGATGAGAAGAGCGATGACATCATAATAAGGATGATCATGATGATGATTATGATGACAACTATCATCATAACACCCTTTGCATCACCAGTGCTACCTGATCAGAGATGATGATGACATCCTCGGCATCACCAGTGCCGGCTAATAAGAGATGATGACCATGATGATAGTGATGATGAGGATGAGGACTGTGATGATAAGTATCGTCGTAGCATCCTCTGCATTGCCAATGGGGTCTAACGTCACTTTTGAAATGCATATAAGAATAAGAACAAGAATGAGATGATGATGATCATCATGATGATGATGAGAAGAGCGATGACATCATAGTATGGATGATCATGATGATGATTATGATGATAACTATGATCGTAACACCCTTTGCATCACCAGTGCTGCCTAATAAGAGATGGTGATGACCGTGATGATCTATCCTCGGCATCATCAGTGCCGGCTAACAAGAGATGATGATGACCATGATGGTAGTGATTGTAAGGACGAGGGCTGTGATGATAACTATCATCGTAGCATCCTCTGCATTGCCAATGGGGCCTAACGTTACTTTTGAAGAATAAGAATAAGAATGAGATGATGATGATCATCATGATGATGATGAGAAGAGCAATGACATCATAATAAGGATGATCATGATGATGATTATGATGACAACTATCATAACACCCTTTGCATCACCAGTGCTGCCTAATCAGAGATGATGATGACATCCTCGGCATCACCAGTGCCGGCTAATAAGAGATGATGATGTTGAAGGATATAGAAATGATGATGATGATGATGTTGACGATAAGAATGATGAAGGATCATATCGATGATGATGATGATGATGATGATGGGCATCCGTATGATGCCAGTAGTCAGATGCTTGCCTCAAAGATTAATCCATGCGCTTGTACTGCAACCACCCTTCCCGTGCGCCTCCCCTTTGAGGAGAAGGGGTCGGCGGATTATTGTGTGGCCTGAGCTTTTTCATGGCAGAGATCTCGTTAAGAAGTTGTTTTGGAGGCCCATGGCATGGCAGGATATTGTGTGGCCAGCGCTGTTTCAGGCCTGCGGAGTTTTTTCTTGGCCCATGGCACGATTGGTCGCCTCCATGTTTTTTTTTGGGGGGAATCGGCCCCCCCCCAAAAGAAAGAAAACGAGCGACAAGTGCGGTTTGCCCCTTGGCTTTCCTTCAAAGCAACTCCAAAAATGAGGGTACCGACTAAAACGAAACCGCCCTCTCCACTTGGCTGGCGATCCGCCGCTCGAGCGGCTCCGAGTCACCAGCTGCCTGGTGCTGCGGCCTTTGGGCCGCCTCAGCATGCTGATGAAAAGGTCAGCTGGTTGAGTCGCCGTCGAGTCGTGGAACGCAGGACCAATTTGTGCGCTTCGGTTGGTACATTGTCTGAAGAACCCGGAATTTTCCACGGTTCTGCAAGGCTCCTTAAAAGATACATTTTGCCCAATTGAAACATGGCTTTTTCCAGCAAAATAAAGGGACACCACCATTTACAAGGCAGTGTTCAGGTGTATAATGTAAGGATCCCTGTTCTGGTACCACCCTTGTCAATCAGGGGCTCACCGTGTTAGGCTCACCGCACTGGATTTCGCCCACGACTCCGTGGAGTACCGAAAGTTAAGGAACGGCCACGCAAGGATTCTGGAGGTCAACGAGTTGCCAGCGCCCTAGCGCCCGAATCGATGCCCCCTGCTATGCGTGTGCTACGCATATTTCACCTTTGATGTGTTGGTGTCACCTTTAATTTGTTGGGATTGGCATGCACGAAGCGCCGTTTCATCCTGGATTGCTTGTGGCAATGTGTCCAGCCTCACTGGTGGGAAGGGCTCCAACGATCCAAGGTCTGATGGCTTTTGCCGGCTGTCACACTCCATCGAGGTTGGGGCTTGGCTGTTCATGGGGAACCACCTCAAAAGTGGTCGAAGACTTTGGATTCCTCAGAGGCGATCATTTTTTGAGGCGGACGCCAAACGGACCGCCGAAGCCCGGACGCCATTTTGGTGGGTCCAACCTGAGCAACAAACCCGCGCGAGCGAGCCACCTATGTTCGGCGATTTGTTTTTCTTCTTTTCTCTGGGGCTCAAACGGACGGTCAGGCATGGTGTCCTTTCTAGGTGAAATTGGTAAAAAAACGATGGCACTGGAGGTGTGCTTAGGCAAGTTTGGCTAAACAAATAGATGGGTTCCACTATTTTGGGGTTTCTTCTATTTACCAAAAGGCCATCTATTTTTCCAAAAGGCCACCGCGAGATGGCCAGGTCTTCGCGCGCTTCGTGCCGGACTCGGTGGTGCGGCGGCTCATCTCTGGGGACCCCAAGGCCTCGCGCCGGGAGCCCAGAAGGCGACGAAAGCGTCGCGTAGACGTCGAAGACCTGGCGAGCGCGAGGGGCGACGGCTTTCTCGCCAGCGTTTTTTTGGTTCTGTTTTTTGCTTTCCGTTTGGGTGGGTACTTTTAGGTTTTCGCCGGGGGGGTCGCCTTTTTCTTCTTTTTTGTTCGATTGGGTGCCGTTCTTTTGGGTTGGTTCCCTTTTTGGAAAGCCAAGGTTCTTAAAGCAAAAACAAATCCAATTGAACCAAGCGGGTAATTGGAGATTGTGTTGAGGGTGCCCTCTTTGGAATGGGTTGAAAGGGAAACCAAAAGGACACCATCCATTTTCAGGGTGTCCGATTCCTATTTTTGAGGCAAGAACTGAGGCACACCCTGTTTGGCTTTGGCTGAAGGTTGGTGTTCTGCAACTCTTCTTTCCAGGGGTTGATTCCCCATTCTTTTCAACCATCGTTCTTTTCAAAAACTTGCTGTTTCCCCTGGGGTTCTGATGGTTTCCTGAAAAGAAGGATCCCCGGAAAGAATGGGGAAGGTACCCCTAGATTCATGAGTTGCTAATGGTTGCTGCCGCCTTGAGGTCTGCATGTGCTCCGGAAGGAAGCAGCATCCTCAGCCTGAGCACTTGCTCAATGATTTGCGGTGCTCCCCCCATGTATCAAGGGTTACTCCGAGCCGATAGCAGAGTTGTCCTGACAATTGCGGAGGTCTCCATCATGTTCTCGGATGTCCGAGTGACCTGGCGGCATCTTTCTTTCTCGCAACACCTGCAAGAAGAGCAGACTCTGTGCATTTAGGACTTCACCACCATCTCGGAAGAGCTGAAACAAGATGATTTGATTCTTTTGCTGACCGTGTACCTCTCGTTCATGACGCGGGTGATTGAGCTCCTGACTCAGAGTCCCGACAGGAAAGGCCTTGGGGAAAGGGGCAACCTCTGAGGTCCTTTGAAGGCGTCGTCGGGGAGATTCTCGGCGACGGGATCCTTGCCTTTTGGAACACACCGGATGCACCACCGGCCAGATTATGGAGTGTGGATGCCATGTTCACCATGTGAAGCTCTTGCTGCTCTTGCTGCATGCAGGATGTCGAGGCTCATGCGGCGAAGGCTTGCGCAGCTGCCTTGTCGCAGCAGCAGGCGGGGCATGGACCGTTGCCCGCCTTGCCCGCTCCGCGTCTGGGACGGGCCAGGCGTTGGGCCCTCTCAACGAAGAGTTTCGAAAGCTGGGCCTGCCGCCTCTGGCCATCCGTATTGGCATCCACACTGGTGCCGGGAGCCCTAAAGAAAGGTGGGTATGGGTCCAAATTCAACCACCAGGGGACTGCAGGTTTTAGTCTTGGGTTCCATTTGCCAGAGTTCCCCCAAAGCGGGTACCTATTTTTGACCCACAGCCAGGTCTGGTTTTCTCTACTCGAGGGCCTGGGGCGCCCCAGGAAGTCCTCACCGGCAACATCGGCTGCCTGTCCGGAAAGATGAAGTTTGGCTGTATGGGCGATCCCGTGAATCTTGCCGCCGCCTCAGAGAGAAAGGCATAAGCACACCCCCTGCTTCTGCTGTGTGCTTTCGTGGCTATATCTCCCGACGTGTGCTTCGGCTCGCGACAGGCGAGTCGCCTGGAGGGCCTTTGCAAGACCTACGGTGCGCGGCCCTCAGAAGCGAAGGTCAAGCGAGTCCCGCCGCTGAAATTCCGCCGAGAAATGCCCGCGGAAATTTTCCGACTCCGAGGTGGGGATCCTTTGCTCCGCCGCGACCCGCGAGAAGCTGCCAGTGGCCCGAAGCCCAGATCTCGCGCATACGGCGAGCGGGGCGGAAAGCGCGAGAGCAGGGGACGGCCGAGAGATTTGAGGCGGACGGTTTCATTTGCCGGAAGCTGGACCTGGTGCAGGCCGTCCATCTCGATCCTTTCAAAAAGTCGACTTTAGTTGTTGCGCGCAGGTGAAGGGCAAGAAGGAGCCGACCGAGATTTATGAGGCTGCGTGTGCTTCCCCGAAACAGAGCATGTTCTCCGCATGGAGGTTGGACCCCTTTACTTGCCAATTCCGCCATACTTACTTAGCTCACTTACCGCCATCCCTCAATTTGGGCTCGTGCTTTTGTGGGCGCGCTTTTCAACTATGGCTTCAAGGGAGACCAAAAGGAAGGCAGGGGTCTCCCTAAAAGGATCTACACATCTCGTGCGGCCGAAGCCGCGACTTTGGGAGGTCATTGGACGCAATCCGGGCGAGGGCAAGGCCCGGCTAAACCACTTGCTTTGTGTGGTGGCCTGTCCTTTGTTGGAGTTGGTGCCCCCCTTTTTGTCAGTTTTAAGGTGACACCCAAATGGAAAACCCACCATTTTGGGGGGCAAAAAAAAGAATGCAACCAAAGTCAAGCAGTTCGGTCGATTGAGGCATCTAGTGCCATCGGGACAAGAGGATACTTGGGGATGTCAACCACCAGGCGACAGCAGTTTTAGTCCATTGTTTCCATTGACCAAAAGCAACCCGTTTTGGAGATTTCCTATGTTTGACCCACAGCCACTTGCGCAGTTCTAGCCCCTCGCCTCTGAGCCCCAAAAAACCGCCAGGTCGAAGAGGCTGTGCCCATCAGCCAGCCCATTTTGCCTGAGAGGCAGGGAGCTTGTCACATGGGGAGGTCTGGGAAGCCTGGGATTCAACGAAGATGTGGCCGTGGGTCAACACCAATGGTACCATTTTGGGGTAGGTGCACCACCCATTTTAGAACCTATTTTAGTGGGGATTGGGATGTTCACTGGGGGTACGGGGTTTTGACTCATAGCCATGTGTCCAAAGACCTGCTTTGCGTTGAGACCTGCTGGCTTGACTCTCCGGCCCAATCTGGTTTTTGGGGATTCCGACGCGTCGCGCGAAATGACACACACACACACACCCACACCCACACCCATACCCACACCCACACCCACACGCACACGCACACGCACACGCCCACGCTCACGCGCACGCGCACGCGCACGCGCACGCGCCGCACGCGCACCCGCACGCGCGCACGCGCGCACAC